AGTTAGGGTTCCCTAGTGAACGTTACAGGAACAGGAAGGGTTAGTAGCTGTACTAGTTGACACTGGATAAGAATTAATGTCACATTTCTGCAGTAATGAGGGTTCTTGACAGTCTGACTTCTCAGAGGAGAACACAGTTGTTTTGGCCATTACTGCCATCCCAGGAGAAGGAGTGGAGTCATGAGCAGGTCATTCTATGACTGGAAGAAACTCTGCCACATGGGGAGTATCAAGAACAGGATGGACCAAGCCATGGGACAAAGATAGGGGTTCTGTTTCTTGATTATGCACACCAAGGGGTTTTCATGAGGTCTTCTTCCAATATGAAAAAAAAGGTTACAGAAGCGGGGCTTCTACTGCGGAAAACAGTGGAGTCGGATTCTCAGGTGAGTTTGTCTCCTCTTCGCTTCTGTGGGGCCAAGGCTGTAGACACTCTCTTGCCTGGCATGTGGACGCAGGATCAGTAGCGAGAGCAATCTCCCTGGAAGTCGGAATATCAACCCTGGGTATAGGTGAATAGACTGCCACAAAGACAGCAGTGGTTCAAGAACATGATATGTCTTTGGTAATGAGGCAGTATTCTGAAACTGTGTATCTGTGCATTCCTCAGAACCAGACAGCACCAAAAACATAATAGACACATTCCATTTGGTAATCACCAGTACTGTATATCTCCTCAACAGATTCTTCAACCCAGGCAGGAAGGCATTCAGCTTTTATTTCATGAGAAACATGTTCAGTATTACAGTCAGGAGGATCTTCAAGCCAGGGCCCAAAGCAGAGAAATCCAAGTAAGAGTCAGGAGGACATGAAATGCTTTCAACAGTATGGAGATTTTGCAATTCATGAAACAGAGGATAAACTGCATGATCAGAAATAAGTCAGTATTTAGCAATTTCTAAAGTAGGACTATCATTATCACCAGAAACAAGTTAACTCTTCCTTTCTTGCAATAGATCAATGAGAGCATGCAATTTTGATAGCAGAGCACGATAATTAGAATGCATTACTCTCAACTGTTTTATCAGGTAAGATAAAGACTCTTTATGTGATATCGCTTTAAGGGAAACACTGAGGAGTCCATACGCCTGATTTATAATTGGAGATTTCCTGAGCCATTTTCCAAAAGCAGGTATCATTGAGGAAAAAGGGTCGCATATCTCTTTGTGATACAACTGTAGTAAAATATGTTTCTGTATTAGACAACGAGCATCTAAAGTAGAAATGCACAAAGTAGATGCTTTTAAAGTCCGACTCTGGAGATGGCTTAACTGACTACAGCAAGCATCGATTAGATTATACTCCTGCTGTGAATCAGTCATTACCAGCAATGCTATTCATTGGACTCACAGACATTTTCGCTGCAGGTTCCTAATTTTGAGGGCGAGATCATTATGTCAGGGTAGGAAGGGGTGCTTCCCTAAGACAGCAATATTCCTTTATGAGCAGGAACCTTATGTGCAGAGAAAATGGCAATCACAAGGAATCAATGCAAAAATATGTCCTTGCTATTGATCCAAAAGAAGTAAAAAAAAAAAAAAACCCAGTTTGAAGCACTTCCAATTTTGCAGCAAACTAGGAAAAAAAATTCCTTCTTGACCCCAGAATGGCAGTCAGATTTATCCTTGGATCAAGCAGTTATTACCCTACATTGAAAGATTATATCCTTGAATATTCTGTTCTTGCCAGTATGCATCTAGTAGCCGTTTGAACATCTGTATGGACTCTGATAAAACCACTTCTTCAGGCAGAGAATTCCACATCCTGATTGTTCTTACAGTAAAAAAACCTTTCCTTTGCCTTAGACGAAATCTTCTTTCTTCCAGTCTAAACGCATGGCCTCGTGTCCTATGTAAAGTCCGGTTTGTGAATAGATTTCCACACAATGGTTTGTATTGGCCCCGAATATATTTGTATAATGTTATCATATCCCCTCTCAGGCGACGTTTTTCTAAACTAAATAGGTTTAAATTTGTTAACCTTTCTTCATAGCCGATATGTTCCATTCTTTTTATTAATTTTGTAGCCCGCCTTTGCACTTTTTCTAGTACCATAATATCCTTCTTTAGAACAGGTGCCCAAAATTGCACAGCATATTCAATATGTGGTCTTACCAGTGATTTATAAACAGGCAAAATGAAATTCTCATCCCGAGAATAAATGCCCTTTTTCATGCATGACAATACCATACTGGCCTTGGCCACTGCTGATTGACATTGCACATTGTTGCATAGTTTGTTGTCTATAACAATTCCCAAGTCATGTGTTATCCCTAATTCGCTTCTATTAAGGGTACACGTTGCTTGTGCATTCTTTACGCCAAAGTGCATAACTTTGCATTTTTCAACATTAAATTTCATCTGCCATTTGAGTGCCCAGTCCACCAGTCTATCTAAATCCCTCGCAGCAAAGTAATATCTTGCTCACATTGTATTATTTTGTATCATCTGCAAACACTGAAACATCACTTTCAAAACTTTTTTCAAGATCATTTATAAACATGTTAAATAAAAGGGGTCCCAGAACAGACCCCCGAGGGACACCACTTGCCACCTCTGTCCAGCTTGAAAATTTACCATTAATGACAACTCTTTGTACTCTATTTTTAAGCCAATGTTCTACCCAAGAACAAGAATATCTAGACCGATTTCCTTGAGTTTGAACACTAATCTATTGTGTGGAACTGTATCAAATGCCTTAGCAAAAACCAAATAGATCACATCCACTGCAACACCCTGATCTATACTTCGACCTACTTCTTCGTAGAACGCAATCAAGTTAGTTTGACGTGACCTGTGCTTCATAAAACCATGATGATTTTTGCTGATAACCATGTTCTTCTCAAGGAATTCTAAAATATTATCCCTTAATAACCTTTCAAATATTTTCCCAGCCACAGAAGTTCTCTTCAATGGTTATGGCTCCTTGCAGTGGTAGTAGTTATTTGCATTTGTCATAGCTCCTTTCAGTGAATATGGCACATTGCAGTAGTTAAAGTTCCCTGCAGTGGTTATAGTTCCTGCAGTGGTTATAGTTCTCTGCAGTAGTTATAGCTCCTTGCAATGGTAATAGCTTTCGGCATTGGTTATAGGTCCTTGCAGTGGTTATAGTTCTCTCCAGTGGTTATAGCTTTCTGCAGTTGTTATAGCTCACAGCAGTGGTTATAGTTGCCTGCAGTGGTTTTGGCTTACAGCAGTGGTTATAGCTCCTTGCAGTGGTTATAGTTCTCTCCAGTGGTTATAGTTCTGGTTATAGTTCTGGAGACCTTCTCTCCATTGAAGCAGTGATTATAGATAGTTTTCCTCATACATTAGCCGAGACTGAATGTATGGGAGTAGAATACAGCTTTATTGCACACAACAGCTATTTATACACAGAAATGTGATTCCCACACCAGGGGTCCTCCATGTAGTGCAATGGCCCTTACCATACGGCGTCACTCTGTCTGGGGTCTGGATTGCATCCTCTCCAGCTAACCAGATAGACTCCATGCTGTGCCTTCCCAGACCTAGAGGCAATATGTATTAAATGTCCACTAGAACTCCCTTTCCCTGGTCAGTACCCTTACACATTATATGTCCCTGGATAGCTCATCACTGAGCTGCCTTATTGTCCAAATTGCGCCCTAATCGGAGAATCCACACCCAAGTTAGAGCATGTTATAGTTTTACCAGGGTTTTGGCATTTTTTGATCCAGCACAGAGCTTCATGCATGCAGCTGGTTGGCCTTACAAAATGGGGCTCTGAGGCATTGGGATTATTTTCTAACCTTACTACACAGTTTATCTTTGCATCTTGCTCCCCTTGTTGTATTGAGCTTTCCCAGTTTAATTGTAATTACCTTGCACTGTCCTATTATTATTTTATTATTTTTATAGCGCCAGCAAATTCCATAGCGCTGTACAATCAACCTGTTGTATTAGTCGACCCTGCCTGCTGTGTCCATAGATAAATATGACGCCTGTTTCTATATCTGATCGTTAACATTGATTCCTAAGTTGGTAATATTCCTTTAATGAGGTTAATATGTAACACAAATTATTTAACTGCTTCCAAGCTATCTCTACTGGAATTAAAGGGACTCTATCAGTATCTCAGTGAAGTGGTGTACATGCCCTGTCCCTGTTGTTTTAACCTTGCACTCGAAACATCGTTGGGTTACAATATTTTCATTCACTATGACAGCCACTAGGGGCACGTCCACATGTAGAATTGAGCTAAACTCAGTTATAGTTTAATTGACTCTCATTGAGAAAATGTAAATGGCGCAGTACAGCGTAATGCTGGTAGAAGAGCTCCACCACACACTGGGATGTAAAATAAATAAAACGTACCCTTTTATACCCTGCAAGGGAGGGGGATGTACACTTCCATAGGTATGGAATACTATACGATTGGGTATATGTGTGTGTATTGTATATAGTGTTCCTTTAAGATAGACAGAGGGATGCCATCTAATTCTAATACATTAAAGCCCCTTCTTTATGTCTTTTTGGGGGAGCAGAGACACTTTTTATTGGGTGTTGATTTTAAAATATTTTTTGACACAGTACTAATAAAAGTGTTCCTAAATGTGGCCTTGGTCTGTTTTATTCTGTTATCCCTGAATACGGCTTAGCCTGCTATCCTACACTATCACACGCTACGCCTTAAAGTCACACTGTTCAGTGTTGGCTCAGGTCTGCGTGTTAGGGTATATTTACCTTGACGTGCGTTTATGGACGGCCTGTTTTACGATTTACAATTTAGAAATAAGTTATGGAGATCTGGTGAAAATAAAATAAAGTCTCCTCGTTCTCGGGACAGACTCCAGAGTGAGGTCATCCACCGCTAAACAGCATGTGCGAGGAATTGAATGCTCACTCTCAGGACTCTGAGACAGGATATATCCAACAAACACACAATTCAGCTGTCCTCTAGAATTACCACCCCCACCTTTTTTTACATTGAAATTGAACTTTAAAAGAAAAAAAAAGGTTTTATTATTTTATCATGATAACCTCATTTGTTAAGGTTTACCTACCGATATCACCTGTCATGCGGTAACACTTCTGGGTTCGGCAGCTGGACCCCGCTCCCCTCTGACACAGCTCTGACGGTATTTAGGGAGACCGCGCAGAGAGGGTGCTTGGTGATACTGGGAGCTACTTCCGCCAGACTTACCTCTCCACAGGCTCTGGCAATGTGGGTCCTACTTCCGAATATGCACGCCAACTCCGGGGACACGCCGGCTCTACAAGCTCTGAAGTCGTCCTAGCCTTCTGGGCTAAGACAAGTATGCTTCATGTCACAGAGGATTACTGGAGAACGGAAACTCACTTACTTTACAAGTGGACCATATCCCTGAACTCTTGGAGGACTACTCATTAACCTTAAGGATATCTTTCAGCTATTTGTCTACAATATCATTTAATGATAAACTAATGCTTGCTTACTCAAATCTTCATTGCTTCAAGCTACTAATTATATGGAGGACAACTCCCATCATGCTTATTCACTATGAACTGTTTCTTGCTTTGCAAATATTCTCAGCTACTTGCTTAATGTTTCTATTGAAGATTATTCTCATTAACCAAAGAATGTTACTTAATGCATCTCTGAGGAAATACTTATTAATGAACTTTTGTTGTTGATTACTTGCACTTCCTCTTATTGGATTATTGCCTAAATGCAATTCATTTAAGTTTAACACTTATTAAAACTTCGGTTGAATCAAGTTACCAGCGCTTCTCTCTTTTCTTAAAGCTACAGTATAGATACTTTAAAGATTCTCAGTTTCTTCACAATTGTAATTAGGGAGTTTTACAAGCTGCAGTTGAGTTCCAATCCAAATCACCCCAAGTAGCGGCTACAGAGAGAGGGAGAGAGGGAAGGAGGAAAGACGAAAATAATATAGAGTTTAGTTTTATTTCTTTTTTGTAAAACGTGCTGGGCTGTGGTTATTGTTGAGGACAGCTGGATTGCCAGTAATTAAATGGACACTATAGTCACCCAGACCACTTCAGCTCAATGAAGTGGTCTGGGTGCCAGGTCCCTCGGGTTTTAACCCTTCACATGTAAACATAGCAGTTTCAGAGAAACTGCTATGTTTACATAGCAGGGTTAATCCTGAAGCCCATGGAGCAACGAAGTAAGGGGAGTGGGCCTTGACAGAGCCAGGAGTGGGCAGGTGCAGTTAGTTAGGGTTTGATTTAAGCTAATGGAGCTTGGGGGCGGGATTAAGGGGGTTAAAATAACGGCCATCTTAGAGAGTGGCCATTCTAATCAGAACTTCACTTACCTGTTAGTTGTGGCAGGTCTGTGTGGTTCTTCTCTTTTCTTTTACTGCAGGTCCATGGCGTCCCTGGACGAGATCCTGGCCGGAGTGAGGGCAGCTGTGAAGGACCGAGGGCTAGCCTGGCTGCATGAACAACTGGGGGCTGCAGTTCCCCCCCAGCACCAGCTTAGCGCAGGACGGTGCGAAGAGCACGGCCGCCCCAGCGGTTGAGCCCGGGCATGGCGCCCGCTCCACGGCGTCGGAGGAGCCCATCGGCGCCCAGTCAGGAGGCAGAAGGGTCGGAGGTTACCGGGGAACGGCCGGCGCCGCCTGTGTGACGTGGCGCTGGTCGGGCGAGGACCGCCGCAAAGCGCGGGTCTGCCGGAAAGTGCGCCCCACACAAGATGGTGGCGGGCAGCCTGATTTCACCAGAGGAGGGCTCCAGCACGGCGGGAATGGCGGCCGGGATGGCGGATGAGCACGTGGATGGCAGCAATTCGGCAAGGCGTCCCGGTGAGTCTATTCTTGTCACTGTGGGGCAGGGGACTGGCGGGACAAGGGATAGCTCTGCACAGGCGGCCCCCCAGCCACTCAGGGGTGGCCCGGTCGGCGGGATCGGTTCTGGGGTGGCCTTGGAAGTGGCCAGGACTGGGGATAGTGCCAGGCATAGGAGTGATGGGCGGCAGGATGACAGCAGGGTCGGGCAGAGAGCGGCAGGGGTCCCCGCTGGCTGCCAGGGGGGGCAGGGTGCCTCTGAACCAGGCGCAGCGGCCAGCGGAAGGCCAGGTGCAGCGGAAAAGGGTGAACCACAGGGTACAGCACAAGATAGGGATGTCAGGAGCTGCAGCAGTGGGAGGATGGGCCCCTCAGGCTGCTCTCACGGGGGGCACCGCAGCAGGAACACGGATAGGAGGGATTACGGAAGGGAGCGGCGCATCGGTAGCGCCAGGCCCAGCAGCAGAAGGAGGTCGGCCGGTCGGCAGTGGAGTGGGGACAGGAGCCCATCACACAGCAGGCGCAGTGGTTCCAGGGCCAGCTGCAGGGCGAGGAGAAGGAGGTCCGGTTCCGCGGACAGTCGGGGGAGGAGGTGGCGCAGCGCATCTGGTTCCTCGGGCGACAGCGGGTCGCCAGGAGCAGGGAAGTTAGGCCGGTGAGGCGGTGCGAAGCTTGGAACAGTGGAAAGGAGCGTAGGGAGGAAGGACGGGTAGGGTCCCAGCGGTACAGACTACCCAGGTTGTCTTCTCCTTACTGTAAGAATATTAAATAGTTAACTTGTTTATATGTATTTTATGCTTTTATAAGGTTTATAACATGATTATTGCTGACTGAAGGAATATTGAATACTTAAAACTCAATATACGACATAATATGCTGACTGTGACAGACTAAGGTATTTCTTCTATAGGATGTAAGACAATGCTAAATTTCAGGATGTCTTGCCCATTCCGATTTTAAGGATATTCTTTTCCAGACGTATGCAAAAGCTTATCTTTCCATTGTCAGAATAACGTAATATAAGGAAGTAATAAATCTTATAGTCTGTACTGTATTTGCATATACCATGGCTAATGTAAGCAAACTATGTATAAAAGCCAGCTCTGGAATACACTCATTTGAGAGTCTTGTAAAGCTGTTGTCCGTGTGTTATTGCTTACAAATGATTCTCCATCAACGTTGATTATGGTGACCGAGGGATCGAGAACCGAGGGGATTAGAGTCCATTACAACATTAACCCTTTCAGCTTGGTGTCTAGAAGTGGGATAGAAGTTGGATCAGCAAAACCATTGCGGTGAGTAGCCTTTTTGTGTCTTATTTGACGCTGATTGTCTATGACCCCCTTTGGTTCAGTAAGTCTGTATCCAGTAGATAGGAAAGGTGTAAGGACTCTAGTTATATTGAGACTATAAGAGGTCTCCGGTTTATTAGACATTTGGTCTAAATATATATAGGGGTTCTTGGTAACCCAGGTTAGTATCTAAGATAGATACAGGTTTTTGAGACCATAAGAGGTCTCCGGTTTATTATAGGGTTTTGGTAACCCAGGTTAGTATCTAAGATAGATACAGGGTATCTCAGGTAGATACAGGTTTTTGAGACCATAAGAGGTCTCCGGTTTATTAAGTCTATAGGTGTTCTGAGCAGCACGGTTTGTAGATCTATAAGTATAACCCAAACTTCTCTTTCTCCCGGTCACCTTTGTTTGTCTTAAGTGTTTTTTGTGGGTGATTGATTGTCTATATTGGGGACGCACTTTGGTAAGTTAGTAGTGTCCCCACTCTGAATCAGCAGTATGGGAAATGTGAGTTCAGGTCCTGAGTGACCAATATATGTATGTATATATGTATATATGTATATGTATGTATATATGTGTGTGTATATGTATATGTGTATATATAAGATAGCAGTACTTTTAAACAAATGGAGGTTTTAAAAAATACATAGGGATTAAGGAGAGAATGCAGGTAACTTGTTTTTCTTTGGTTTTTTACCATATATTGGGGCTGATGTGTACTGTAGTCCTTGCTGCTGCCCAGTAGTGATGGGAGTGAGCGCAGGACTTATCTTTCTGCAAGATAGCAGTACTGTATATTAGAAAAGAAATGACTCACAGGTTGTACCTGATAGACCTACTTAAATCTTTTTACTTTATTCTTTCTGTCGCATAGAAGTATAAGTTTATTACTCTGTTTTATTGTAAGTTATTTCACATGGGATCTATGTGCCTGGTATGATTGTTGCTTTAAAAATACTATAAGCCCACTACACTTATTATGAGAGTGGGATAGTGTAAATGTGTTTGTACATTGTTTGCATGATGAGCTGAGTATATTTTATAACTGAGACAAAAAGTCACTTCATTAGTAAAGTTAATTCCCCATATGGGATTAATTGTATAGAAACACCAATCAGCACATCTTCCCTGCCCTGTGTGTTTGTTGCAAAGGATCCATACTAAATATGATTTATGAGCGCGCTATATAAATGGATCCTTTCTTTTGTTATTTTAAATTGTGGTATATAGCCTGAATCAGACATCATGGACAAAGGTTTTTTACCTGTGTTACTAAGGGCTCTTGGAGACTGACCGGTCTAAAGGTTTGCCATGCCTTTAAAACATGGTATAGTATAAATTTTTAAGTCTCTGAGAGTTCTGAAAGATTCAGGTGAAACCATGTCTGTTTAATCTGGTCCAGATGTTTGTTCAATTTCTATAGGATTTAAGTTGATGCAGCATCATCTCAGATTAGTTAATGGTAGTTTTATACAAATAGTTGAGTTATGAGCGCGCTATATAAATGGATCCTTTCTTTATATATAATACTATAGTAGATTAAAGTAATGAAGTTAATTAAGAAAATGTATACATAAGAATCCCTAAAATAAATCTAAACTAAAATTGGTATACCTTCCAATAATATGTTCTGAATACAGCTGTTTATTCTGTGTAAATGGTGACTGTGATAATGTGTGATAAGTGTGCAGTTTAACTTGAAAGTGGTTTAATTTATATGTTGCTGTATTGTTTTAAATTATATGTGAATCAGTTTGTCACAGTCTAGTGATACTGATAAGAATGACAGCCAAATAACCTAGCAAATAACTGTTTTATTAGTTGTTGAATACTAGCGTTTTGGCCAAGAATAGTTGGAGATTTGGAGGTGTTAGTTTAAGATTGCTTTTATATTGTGTCTATCCGTGTTTCCTAGGAGGGAGACAGAGTGTGTAGTTGTGTGCCCATAAATGTGATTTCTGTATTGGCATATCTGCTGGGTACCCATTATGTGTTTCTATAAAGATATTGCTTTGTGAGATGACGTGTGATATTACATTGGATGCTGAGTATGAGTTATATGGTTTGAAATGAATTGGTGATTATGAGCTTAGTACTTCAGTAAGATGTGCTAAAATTTGGAACAAGGTGGAAGCTGAAATGTTGGGATTATGGAAGAATAGGTAGTCTATATTCACTGCTTTGGCATATAAGCAAGATGCAAAGGAAGAGATTGGTAATATGATTTTTGTAAATAAATTTTACAAGTGTTGGAAGGATGAGGCAGGTTTGATGTCTGGAGATGATATAGATCTCTTTAAAATACAGTCATGCCTTGGTAATATGTTGCCACAGTATTCTTTGCTTGTGAAACAATTGATTTCAGACTGGGCCAATTTGGATAGCTCAGAGTTTCTTACCAAGGTTATAGAAAAGGAAAATGCAGGTTGTTTTGAATTAAGAAAAGATTTAGGAAAGTAAGGTTGCTTATTATGCTCAGGGATTGCAACATATTATGTCCAGCTACACAGGCTGAGAGCGAGGATGGGATGGAGCACATAAAGCCCGTGGAAGGGGTGGTCAAAGAGGGGCAAGGGGATGGAGACAGGGAAATCAGGGTTATAGGGGCAGGGGTAACCAAGGAGGAATGGACAGGAACACTTGTTTCAACTGTGGCCAATATGGCCACTGGAGGAATGAGTGTCCACACCCCAGGAAACCCCAGGAAACCCCACACACCCCAACAACCCCACAATTCTCAAAATATGCCCGGTAGGCAAGAACAACACCAGACCCACTCCCAACACCACTGGCCAGCATATCGCTTAGTTCAGGACTTTAGAGCCCTGAATAGTTTAATTGTGCCCATTTCACCCATTGTCCCTGATGTGACATCCCTCATTACAGCCATTCCACATGATGCCACTTGCTTCACTGTCATTGATTTAAGTAATGCATTTTTTTCTATACCTATTGATCAAGAGACACAGCTACTTATGGTTTTTACTTTTGAAGGCTGTCAGTTTACCTGGACACGCTTACCCAAGGCTATGTGGATTCCCCAGCTGTTTATTCGTTGGTACTCCAACATACTCTAAAAAACATGGACCACCGGTCATGGTTCCGTCCTTTTTGCAAAATGTTGATGATTTGTTGTTATGTAGCCCTAGCTATGAGGCAAGCACTGTGGATACTGTCAGCAACTGTAGGTCACAAGGTTGTTAAACACAAAATGCAATTGTGTAAATCAAAGGTTGAATACTTAGGTTTTGTTCTGGCTTTAGGCACCAGACAATTGAGTCCAAAACGTATTGAGGTCATTCAGAGGATTCCTATACCCACTACTTGGAAGGAGTTGCTCACCTTCCTCGGCATGATTAATTACTGCCGCCAATGGATCCCTGAATGCTCCCATTATGACTCAATCCTAAGGGAGGCTGTACGTTCTGACAGCCCTGAAAATGTCTGCTGGTCACCAGACATGCTATCTGCATATATTGCCCTTACAGTTGTTATTGTGCAAGCCCAGGCTTTATGACTACCTGCAGGGGCGGACTGAGAACACTCAGGGCCCCCGGGCAAAATAAATCAAGGGCCCCCTTACAGGCCCCACCCACGTTCTGTCGCAAGCCCCACCCTTGTCCCACCTCCATGCCCCTCCTCCAGCCACACCCTACACAATCTTTAGACACAAAGAACAAAAGTGCAATATGTTCTAAACAAGTGTAATTTAATTAACGAATGCAAAAACCAAACTGTGCAAAATAAATAACAAATGCACAAAGACAATTGCATTACCAATGATAGACAAACCAAAACAAGTGCATTACAAAATCATAAACAGACAAAGCCAGAGTATCATAAATAGACAAACCAAAACAAGTGCATTACAAAATCATAAAAAGACAAAGCCAGAGTATTACAAATAATAAATAGACAAACCAAAACAAGTGCATTACAAAATCATAAATAGACAAACCAAAACAAGTGCATTACAAAATCATAAATAGACAAACCAAAACAAGTGCATTACAAAATCATAAAGACAAACCAAAACAAGTGCATTACAAAATCATAAATACAAACCAAAACAAGTGCATTACAAAATCATAAATACAAACCAAAACAAGTGCATTACAAAATCATAAATAGACAAACCAAAACAAGTGCATTACAAAATCATAAATAGACAAACCAAAACAAGTGCATTACAAAATCATAGACAAACCAAAACAAGTGCATTACAAAATCATAAATAGACAAACCAAAACAAGTGCATTACAAAATCATAAATAGACAAACCAAAACAAGTGCATTACAAAATCATAAATAGACAAAACCAGAGTAATACAAATCAAACAGACAAAACCAGAGCAATACAAATCATAAACAGACAAAACCAGACACAGCATTACAAATCATAAATAGACAAAGCCAGAGTATTACAAATCATAAATACACAAAACCAGATTATTACAAATCATAAATAGACGAACAAAACCAGAGTATTACAAATCGTAAATAGAGAGCAGACGTGCCAACTCGAGCTCCAGGCCTTCTGAGAAAAACGACGATTAAAGAAAGAAAATCAAACTGCTGCCAAACAATACAACCCTCAACCTACACAGGGAAGGCTATGGGGCGAAAAAAGCAAGAGCAGACAAAAGCCCCCCTGGCCGAGATATAGGGGAGATGCTGCAGCGCTCACAGACCCCGATGTGGGACAAAATGGCGTTGGAGGTAGAGGGTCCATCATACTCCTCGGACGACAAGTCAAACGAGATGGGAATGGGGGAAACGAGTGCTCCACTTACCAGAACCAAGCCCCAGCAAGCCACTACTGGAGATCCAGAAACCGCTACCCAAATAAAGGGAATGCTAGCCGAACTACGGAAGAACATAGCAGCAGACATGGACGGCATCAAGGAAGCCATAGACAACATCATATCGAGGATCACCCTGCTGGAAACCTCATCAAGTTCCCAAGACCAGAGATTGGACTCACTCCAACAAAAGCAACTAGCCACCAGCAACAGGGTCGATGCCTTTGAGGACCAAAGGAGGCGTTACAATCTCAAAATCCACAGAATACTGGGCACTGCTGGCCTAATAGACTTACCTCATTTCGTCAGGCGCATGATAGGCGTCTTGCTGCCACCCAAAAAGGCCAAGGCGATACGGCTCGACGGCATGTTCAGGCTACCAAAGCCAGCCTCCGCCCATATGGATCTGATCATCCGCTTCCAGTCCATGCAGAACAAAACTCTCCTAATGGCGGCTGCATGAGAGAAGGCTCCATTACAACTAGAAGGAGCCACACTGTCCATGTTCCCAGACACCACCAAAGGTACCATCGAGTGGCGCAGGACCCTGCGGTCGCTCCTGCCTCTGCTCCGAGACAAAAGCATCCAGTATCAGTGGGGGACTCCAAGAGCACTCATCTTCCAACATCAAGGAAAGACACACCGAGCCCGAGACCTCTCTGAATTGGAAACCCTTCTACGTAAACTGGGACTTGCAGGCCCTAATCAAGCAACAGCATTGGGACTTTCACAGCTAGATCCCACAACGATACCAGAATTTGTCCCCAGGTCAACAAGACGACCTACACCCTCGAGGTAGAAGACTTGGACGGCTGCAGGCAACCCGGGACTTATCGTCCAAGCTAAAGGACACTTTACCTGCAGCATGCAGTTTCCTCACTAACAAAAACCCATGACGGCACAGTTATACCAAGTTCAAACTCAATGTTTAAATTTGTCTCGGTTTCTAGACATACGCTTTACATATATGGGATTTAATGGCTACCTATAACTCATTCCCCACAACCTTGTGGATAGGCTTTACATACTCCACATGACATACACAAGAGCCCACCACAGACTGCTCTATGCCAATAGCCGACACTCCGGAAGCCATAGTATCACCCCCCCCTCATCCAACACACGACGACACATCACTTACCCCCCGGAGTGAGAACGAAGTGAGAGGTACTCACATCACGCTTCATAGCCAGGAGCCACTCAACCCTCCTAGAGAGGAACATACAATAAAGCTACAGCCCCTATTTACGTTTCAACATGCTACAACTTAAACCCAAAAATGTTCCACATGCCTAACAGTGTCAGCAACAAGAGAAACCCTGTATCTGCCTATATGAGAACCATGTTATGTATTCTTGAACTTACTATGTGGAATGAAAAATAAATAAAAAAAATATTCATAAATAGACAATTACATGTAAAAATAATTACAATGCAAACAAAATCAGTGCAATACAAATAATAAAAACAAACAGAAGTGCCATCCAATTTCAGCTTCACAAATATATATAGCGTCGGCCAATCTGCAGTTTAAAAGAGAAGCAGAGAGCGGAGTTCAGCAGATGTCTTGCCAAAACGGTCTATGATTTTCTCTTTGTCTCTCTTTATGCTTAAAGAAACATCTTTCTCTATTGCAATAAGCATCAATGTCTCCAGGTTTTGCTGAGTAAGCGTTGATCTAAGTCTTGATTTTAGAATTTTCAACTTTGAAAAACACCGTTCACAGGAGCATTGTGTGGTGCTTAGAGTGATCAAGTACTTGTATGCCATATAAAGATTTTCATAGGCCGATGAACATAATCTGTACTGAAAAAGCAGCTTAAATGCACAGGATGTGCATTTTTGGCAGCAGAGTTTTTTCATAGAAGGCTTACAAGCTGATGGCTCAGAGTCAGAGAAGTCAGGTTCTTCCTCTCCAGCAGAGCTCAATGTTTCATCATCACTATCAAACAGTCCTCTGGAGAGATTTCTGTAACTTGATGCAAATGAAATCAATTCTTCACGAAGAACAGGGCCATCAATTTCAGGAACAGCTGTAGAAATGGCATCAAACTTTATTTTTTCAGGAGAAGCCAGTATTTCCTCAAACCGGTTTGGGTCAAAACATGAAATCTGCATGTAAAGTTTGCCATGAGTGGCAAACCTGGTTCTCATACTTTCCAAAACTTTATCACAGATGACATTGTAGCATGAAACTTCAAAGCTGTGTTGTTGATTTGCAGGAACTACACATCTTGTTGATCGGTGTTCTGTGAAAGATTTACTGATGGCAATGTCCTCTGCAGCTAGTTTTTCATTCAGGTGATCAATGAAAGTTGTAGCAGATCCACAGACTCCTGAAAAGTCTCTTGAAATTTTTGATAAACGGTTTGTAGCATCCTCAACCATTCGCCATGCCTGCATAATGTCAAGGGCTGGTGACTGCAAGTAATCTGACACGGGAGTAGTAATGTCAAAAATTCTTATAAATGTAAAAGTGGCCAGGATGGTTTCAAATTTACATAGGTTTTCATTTAGTTTTAGAGCTTCATGACGAACAGAATTTCTAAAATCAGATGAACTACTTACATGCTTCAGAACAAGGATGAGGTCAGAATATAATTCCTCAGAGTGGTTTTCATATGTTCCGCAAAGTTTTCGAAGGGCTCTGGCTTTGCTTGACCACCTGGTAGTACCAATTTTATCAAGTCTTTTCAGTTTAGCACTTCCAGTCTTGGCTTTCAGCTGGTCTTCCCAAATTTTGATCCTTTTGTAGGACTCAGAGAAAAAGGTGGACAAGTTACCAAGAAGTCCAAACAAACTCACTGCTGGAACACATACACTGCTTGCATCACATATAACAAGATTTAGGACATGAGCATAGCACCACGTATGAATGTGACTAGGACGCACTTCTGTCATCAATGCTTGCAATCCTGTATATGTGCCACTCATGTTAGCAGCTCCATCAAAGGAATCACCAATACACTGCTCCAAATTCAGTCCAATGTCAGACAAAGAATCTCTTAGCAAATCATGCAAGCCCTTGCTGCTGGAGTCCTCAACATTCAGAAGGCGTACCAATCGCTCTTTAGCTTTATCTTCCACAACATATCGCACAACAATGGCACATTGATCATGTGCAGAGACATCTTGAGTAGAATCCATTTGTACCGAAAACATCCCTGCATTGTTAACTTCCTTAACAATGTCTTCTTTAATCATATCTCCAATGATTGTAAACAATTTAGTTATAGAGGACTTGCTCAGAAAAGTTACAAATTTTCCTCGCCCTTTTTGAGATGGGTCACGGTTTTTGGCCACTTTCGTTACTTTTACCAAATGGTCTTTTAGGACTGGGCTATATTCCGCAAGGAGTTTCACCGCCTCCAAAAAATTTCCTCGATTTTCAAGACGGTCATCATCAAAGACATCAGCTACAGATTCTGAATGGCTGCTTCTGTATGGCAATGCTTGGATTCCAATAAAAAAAACAACATCAATGATGTTGCTTAGAACAGTACGGCGCTGAAGTACCTGGTTGTGCCTCATAGAAAGCTGGTCAACGGAAAGTTTGTGCTTGATCGATTTGCCTTTAATATTGATCATATAGGCTTCGCTAGCAAGTTTATGGCACTGGGACTGCTCATGCTCGGTAAGTCTTGTTGTAATATGTCTCCAGTCATTACAACCCTGAATCCAATGAGTATGATGATATTTTTCTGCACAATACATAAGGCAAATTGAACAGTGCAGGGTCTTCTTTTTGCCATTGTAAGTAACCCATTTTCTATTAATATTTGATCCTTGTATACCTTTTCGGAAGTAAACAAGGTTTCCATTGAATGGGATATCCTGAGTAGGTTGTTTAGGATGAAATTCCCAGAACATTTCCATGGAGATTCCAGCCTTTCCCAAATCATGGGAATGAAGAAAGAAATCCTCTGGGGACGGTGATTTTTCCCATAGCGGAGACAATGCAGTCTCCTTCCTGGGCATTTTTATAGGAGGTTCTCTCTCTTTGGTCTCTTCAGCTAAAACACATACATTAGATGTTTCAGAAACAGAAGTTTCAGTCTCCACTGGCATTCCACTTGCTACATCCTGCTCTGGATCCGTTTTCTTTTGAAAAAATTTGTGGATTTTGCTTGTTGATGCTTCAATTTTCTTCTGTTCCTCTTTCTTTTCCTTTCTCTTCATTGCACCACTTTTGTGTTTATAACCTTCTGATGAAGACATTGTAGTGCTGAAAATGACTACAACCTGCGCATGTAATGTGTCATAGGGATTAGACATGAGTCTCATCAATCATTTGTTGGTGAAAATGAACTGCCAAACACACTTAAAAATACATGTTTAATGGTTGAACTCAATGACACATTTGTGGGTTTTTTAAATCTAGATTACAATAATGCATTCATTGGTGCATGAACAGTTTCCCAACACACACCTGGACAATGTAAAAGCAGAGTACACTGTACCTACCACTCATCACTGAGAAAAGGACTAGTGCTCATTCCTGGTGAAGAGAGCTTACAAGACCCATCACATAAGTACACTATGTGTAGCAAGAGCAGAAATGTTAGTTTCATCCAAATTTAACCAAATATGAATATGCAAAAATGTACCAATACCATGAACAGAGGGCCAGGCTACATGCACCAGTAGGTGTCAAATCTCAGTGCAGCGAGTCTTTCTTTAAAAAAAATAAGTAACACTAGATAATAAACTTTAATCCTGACACAACCAATGCACATTCACACAGTGTGTGACTGACAAATAAAATGGATAGAGCCAATATTAGAACACTGATTTACAGGATGCCAAGATGGAGGTGCTCAGTCAGTACCATCGTAGAGGATAAAATAAATAGGAAATACACAATTCTGTACTGTGCTTGAACTTTTAAGGACACCGTACATGCACAAGTCCCTTTTGCATAAATACCATCCCACATGGGGTAAAACTGAATTTAGCCCAATCTTAAGAGGCCATACAATGTTAATGAAAACCAACACTATATGAAAAATCTCCGCTATAATGGGAAATATTTCCACCATACCCCACATTTTGCATCAGAAACCTACTCCAAGCCATCAACCATGTGCAAAGCAATGTGCCATTTTAAGTTTTAATGCTCTGGATATTATCCCATTAAATAAAACACTGACAGAGTTATTTACTAAAGTAAGATTTCAAAAGGTAAAGGGACACAAAAGGCACCCAGACCACTTCAGCTCATTGAAGTGGGGTAGGTACAGTGTCCCTTTTGCTCATCGAGCTGCAACGTTCTAGAGAAACTGCAATGTTTACGTTCCATCAATAAGTCAGCCTCTAGTGGCTGTCAGCCACCTGAGGGCTTCCTGGATTAAAACAGACCTTTGGTCCAGTATCTGATGCTGGACGTCCTCACGCTCTGCATGATGACCTCCAGGGTCAGATTTTTCCCCATAGGAAAGCTTTGTGATCTAATGCATGCGCGGCATTTCTAACGCATTAGCGCCTGGTTGTTGTGGGACGTCGAAGGGGGCAGAGCATCAACCCACTGCAGAGGGATATTGGCGCAGGGATCAGTTAAAGGATCACCACAATGTCAGGAAAACAAACTCGTTTTACTGACATTATATAACCCATAGGTTCCCCCTTCCGGTGTGCTAAAGGAGTTAAAACCCCTTCAGCCACTTACCTTTATCCAGCGCCGGGGTCCCTCGCGGTGACCTCTCCACCCCCGCCGGCGTCAGCTCCCAAGTGGGGCGTAATGCGCGGCAAGAGCACGATTTTCGCATCCAGTGTCACAGAAGCGCCTCTAGCAGCTGTCAGGAAGACAGCCACTAGAGGCTGGATTAATCCTGCAATGTAAACATAGCAGTTTCTCTGAAACTGCTAGTTTTACATTTGATGGTTTAAAACCTAGGGGGCCAGGCACCCAGACCACTTCATTGAGCTGAAGTGGTCTGGGTGATTGTAGTGTCCCTTTAAGTAAATAAAGGGTTTATTTTGTATGCATTGATGCAGACTAGCATCCGGCCGAATAGAATACTGGAGTACTGGCAAAAGAGTTATAAAAATATATATATTTAATATAGTCAAAAAATATTTTTTTTAGAGAGATAGATATATATATATATTTATTTTATTTAAAAAGGGTGCCCAAAAGGTAGATTCCCAGATGTTTTTAAACAACAGCTTATACAATGCTTTGCCATTCTAAGAGCATGCAAAGCATCATGGGAGTTGTAGTTCTACAACATCTGGGTAGCTACCTTTCGTGCACCCCTGCTATAAACTATACAAAATCCAGTACACTATACAAAATCCAGTACACTCACCCACGTTTTGAAAAATATAATTGTTTTTTAAAAAACACAGGAATGAAGCAAAAATAAAGGTACTCTAGCTACAGTATATGATCATCTGCATCAGCTTGTCACAAAGTCAATGTGTCCCATAATGTAAGCACATTTAAGAGAGTGCAGATTCACGGTTTCATATATATGTGCTCCGTGAATGTTATAAGTGATTTTATATATTTTTTAATTTTTCTAACAAAAGTTACTATAATGCATGGCTTGACAAATTTGTTTGAAATCTAGGAGTCAGCTAAAAAGTTAGGAGCCAGTCTTTTTAACCCCTTAAGGACACATGACATGTGTGACATGTCATGATTCCCTTTTATTCCAGAAGTTTGGTCCTCAAGGGGTTAAACGAACAAAGCTTCATTTTGAAAAATGAAAAACACATTTCTTAAGGGGACACTATAGTCATCAGAACCACTGCAGCTTAATGTAGTTGTTCTGGTATCTGTAGCATGTCCGTGCAGGATTTTTAATGTAAAGACTATCTTTTCAGAGAAAAGACAGTGTTTACATTGCTGTCTTGGGACACCTCTTGTGGCAGTCACTCACGCTTAGTTTCAGCCTCTGCATGGAGGCGCTGAATGTTCCCCATAGAGATGCATTGATGCAATGTATCTCTAGGAGGAGATGCTGATTGGCGCAGCACAGCCTTTTCTGCACATGCGCAATATCCTCCTAAAGCCTATGGGAAAGCATTGAATTAAAGATTGATGATATCCGCCATGGAGGAAGGACCAGCCATAGGGGCAGGACCAGCTGCGGCAAAACAGGCAAAGTGTAGGAAAAAAGGAGAGTAAAAACACCTTTCCCATGTGATCGGAGAGGGCAGGTACCTAAACAGACACAGAGACAGTCAGGCACACACAGACAGAGACACAGTTTATGAGAAATTCACATATGAACATTTAAATGGACAAACAGCAGGAAGTAAAGTAGACTGATCTACAGGGACCTGTAGAGGGGTATATATAACAGACCCTCTCAGTGTCCTTTAGAGAGTGTGTTAGAAAGAATCTCCTCCAGGCCCCATTAGAGACTATAATGGAGTCTAATAGGCTTGGAAGGGGGTCTTTCTAGCAGAGGCTATCTCAGTGTCCTTTAAAGACTGTTAGAAGGAATCCCCCCCAGGCCCCATTAGAGATTATAATTGAGGGCTAATGGGCCATGGAGAGGGGTCTTTCTAGCAGAGGCTAAGTGTCCTTTAGAGAGTGTGAGAAAGAATCCCCTCCAGGCCCCATTAGAGACTACAATGGAGTCGAATGGAGCCTGGAGGGGGGTCTCTCCAACACTCTGGTTCCTATTCACAATATAGCAACACAACATAGCTCGCTGATACCTAGGCCAAGTTGGCTCCTCTTACCTCAATTACGGTTGCTGGTTGGCAGTCTGTGGGCTTGCTGGCTGTAGGCCTGTGGCCGGCGGCTGGCCTGTAGCGGCTGGCTGGCTGGCCTGTGGCGGCTGGCTGGCCGGTGGGCGGCTGGCCTGTGGCGGCTGGCTGGCCTGTGGCGGGCGGACCGGCGGCTGGCCTGTGGCGGCTGGCTGGCCGGCCTGTGGCGGCTGGCTGGCCGGCCTGTGGCGGGCGGGCGGCTGGCCTGTGGCGGCGGGCGGCTGGCCTGTGGCGGGCGGGCGGCTGGCTGGCCTGTGGCAGTGACTGGCCTGTAGCAATGAAGGCGGGCTGACTGCAGCCTGTGGCGAGGCGAGGCGGCGCTGGCCTGTGGCGGGCGGCGAGGCGGCCTGTGTGGCGGCTAGGCGGGCGGCCTGTATGGCGGTGAACGACCTGTGGCGGCACCTGAAGCGGGCGGCCTGTGGCCTGGGCCGGAGCCTGACTGTGGCCAGGCTGACTGGCCTGTGGCTGACTGGGCGAAGACGGCCTGTGTGGCGGCTGGCCTGTGGCGAGGCGGCTGCTGGCTGGCCTGTGGCGGGCGGCTGCCTGGCTACACAGCCTGTGGCGAGGCGGCTGGCTGGCCTGTGGTGAGTGATGCCCGGCCTGGCCTGTGTGGCCGGTGGCTGGCCTGTGGTAGTGAGGCGGCTTCTGGCCTGTGGCGTCTTGGCTGGTGACACAGCCTGTGGCGTCTTGGTGAGCGGCTGGCCTGTGGCGTGTGGCCCGGGCCCGGCCTGGCCTGCACCTGTGGCGGTGAGCGGCTGGCCTGTGGCGTCTTGGTGGTGGCTGGCCTGTGGCGGTGAGCGGCTGGCCTGTGGCGGCTGGGCGGGCGGCCTGTGTGAGCCGACTGGCCTGTGGCCAGGCGGCTGGCCTGTGTGGTGACACCTGGCTACAGCTAATGGCTGGCTGGCTGGCCTGTGGTGGTGACTGGCCTGTTCTTGGTGGTGACTGGCCTGTGGCGGTGACTGACTGGCCTGTGTGGTGACTGACTGGCCTGTGGTGGTGGTGGCTGGCCTGTGGCGAGGCTGGCTGGCTGGGGGGCCTGGGCCCTGTGGCTGGCCAGCCTGGGCCCTGTGGCTGGCTGGCTGGGGGCCTGGGCCCTGTGGCTGGCTGGCTGGGGGCCTGGGCCCTGTGGCTAACGCTGTGGCTGGCTGGGGCCTGGGCCCTGTGGCTGGCTGGCCTGGGCCCTATGTGGCTGGCTGGCCTGGGCCCTGTGGCTGGCTGGCTGGGGGGCCTGGGCCCCTGTGGCTACAGCTGGCTGGGGCCTGGGCCCTGTGGCTGGCAGCTGGCTGGGGCCTGGGCCCTGTGGCTGGCTGGCTGGGGGGCCTGGGCCTGTGGCTGGCTGGCTGGGGGCCTGGGCCCTGTGGCTGGCTGGGGGGCCTGGGGCCTCTGGCTACAGCTGGCTGGGGGCCTGGGGCCTCCTGTGGCTGGCTGGGGCCTGGGGCCTCCTGGCTGGCTGGGGGGCCCCTGTGGCTGGCAGCTGGGGAGCCTGGAGCCCTGTG